TGATCCCGTCGACACCTCATGATCACACAGGCTGGTATGCACAAGACCTCTTTAGAGTGTTGAAAAGCAAGGCTATTACTTTGAGGATTGAGGTATGATTGACCCAAGCCATGATAATTTCAGTCACCTAATACGCATGTGAAAATTGGACATTGAATAAGGAAGACCAAAGAAGAGGCAATGCATTTGAAGCGTGGTGCTGGAGAAGAATATTGAAAGTATTTCAAGTTGGGCTCTCCTGCTCTCGCTCTTGGGCTCTCCCCACGAGGACCACCAAGCGGGGCTCAGGTGAACATGCTACCATGAAAAAAAAAGAGAAAGAAATTATTGGATTGCTACTGCTAAAAGGACAAACCAATCTGTCTTGGAAGAAGTAGGGCCAGAGCACTCCTTAAAGGCAAGAATGGCGAGACTTCATCTTACGTACTTGTTGTCCAGGGAGCCAGCTGTCAGGGGACATGTTGTCAGAGGAGACCAGTCCCTGGAGGATAGATACCATGCTTGGGAAAGTGGAGGGGCATCAAAAAGAGGACGGCCCTCAAGGAGATGGATCAGCACGGAGGCTACAATAATGGGCTCAAGTATGGGCCAGTCGTGAGGTTGGCACAGGACCGAGCAGTGCTTTGTTGTGTTGTGCATACGGTCGGTCGCTATGGGTTGGAACCAATTCGATGGCACCTAACAACTGTTACTGCGGAGAGACCCTTATTGCCATCCTGTACACCTGGGGACCCTCCTAGGGTAACCTCCTCTGCTGCCTCAAGAAATAGCAAGAGCCTTCCCTGTGGTGCTAGAGCGCCTTTTGGGTTGTAGCTAAGGCTGTGTCTGAGCTGCTTTCCTGCGAGATGGGGCCTCGGAGGCTCAGTGGCAGAATTCTTGCCTACCACGCCATAGACCCGTGGTCAGTTCTCTGACAGCGTATCCCATGTGCTGCTATGTCAGCGGGGTTTGCATGCTGATATGAAGGTCTGGGCTTGGTTCATGCTCCTGGAGGTGCCGGGCCTTCAGCTGCCTGTGGTAAGAAGCCACCCTTTGGTGCTTGGATGGATGGATGCAGGAATATGATAGAGCCAGCTGCTGACCTGCTTACATCCGGTGTTCTTTTTCTGGGCCAAAGGAGTGGTTTGCTTTGACCTCTCTATCCCTTTCATAGACTCTGCCTGGGCAGCTGGTAGCAACAATGGGGCAGTGTGCCTTTCGGCACACGGAGCAATAGAAAACACCGAGAATGAACCCTGACTGCATGCAGTGGCTTGTGGATGCAGTTACAAAGGAAGAGAGACTGCTTATCTTCGCTGCAATGGCGTGAAGTGCTTGGGGAAAAGCTGTTCCGGTGGGATTGGGGCGTGCCTGTTGGTGAAGTAGCACAGGGCTCCGGCTGCCCCCTGTTGGGCTCAGCTGGTGTTTGGCGAGAAGAGGAATGTCAGAGAAACTTGTTGATGCAGTTATTCCATGGACGTCCGGTATGCAGGAGCAGGGTCCTTTCTGCCAAATTCTCCATTAGGGAGGCATCGAGTGAGTCAGAGTGAGCTTGGATGGACTCTCTGGGGAGTAACTTGACTTATCCACAAACACGGGCATTCGAGGGAAGAGACTTTCTTTCCTACTGCTGTTCAGCCCTGATTTTTTTAAAATAGCAAGCTTGCAACGACCCCCACATCAGAGCAACCACAGAAACGCCTCAGCAGCACCCCCCCCCCAAAAGAAGAGGTGGCAGAGGTCATCTGTAAGTGCCCAGGGACAGGGAGCTGACTGCGTCTAATACAGCCACACACTGGGGTCTGAGGCAGCGCCACATGCAAAGATCGAATGCATGAGACACAGCAATATACGCAGATGCTGGCCTGTGCTGTCATTGTCCACAGATCTTTGGACAGGAGAATGGTATCGATTGTGGCCGCCTGTGAGGGGAAATAGTTGCTGGGCATGGGAGTGGAAAGGAGGCGTCTTTTCACCATATGCCTTGTGTGCTGTTTACAATTTGTACCCTGTGTGTCCTGCTTTTTGGGTTTTTTTTTAGTAACGAGTTGTGAAGGTCCAGTAAGATTCCTTACTATCACTCCTCTTTTTTCTAAAGGAGGGATTTAAATCGCTATAACATGTTTTTGGTGGTTTTTTTTTTTCAATTTGAGGAAAAATGGGTAGTCTGACAGTTCTACCAGCTATATGGATACATAAGATATACATATTTTATGTATGTCTTTTGATTCTGAATTTATACTTGGGTTGTGTGAACCCGTTCGTTCCACTTGGACCGCAAGAAAAAGTCTTTTGTTTTGGAACTCGCACTTAACCATCAGCCCTAATGGAAGAACAAGGAGTTCTTATGATGTGGTCCTGCTCAAAATGTGTCCCAGTGAAGTGATGCCTGGAGATATGAGTGCTACAGCAAGGTGTGAGGAAGGGCCCAGATGGTGCCTGGCGCCTGGCTAGCAGAATGAACAGTGTCTGGGGTCTTGAAGACTTGTTTTCCAACAAGCAGCCATCTGAGTGAGGTGTCAGCTACATCTGCATGGAAGAAGCCCACCAGCTAGAGCAGTGGTTCTCAACCTATGGGTCGTGACCCCCTTGGGAGTACAACGACCCTTTTACAGTGGTCACCTGATTCATAACAGTATCAAAATTAGTTATGAAGTAGCAATGAAAATAATTTTATAGCTGGGGTCACTACAACATGAGGAACTGTATTAAAGGGTGACAGCATTAGAAAGGTTGAGTACCACTGAGCTAGGGTGATCAAAGGATTATTAGCAATAAAGTTCAAGATCAGAAAGGGAGACTTTTGGAGCTTAAATTCTGAGCACATGATTTGCCCAAAGCTATAGATAACAATGAAAGCCCCCCAATCCATTTACAGAACCCCTATATGAACTAAGCCTCCAATGAATTCCCTGATCCATTGACCAAGGAGGTAAATAGTCCTGTCCCCAGACAGGGTACACTGAAAAGTGAATTACTACAGATATAACCCCAAAATCAAACTCGCTGGTCCTGTAGGACGAAGCTGGACTGCCCCTGTGGGATTTGGAGACTGTAACCCTTTGTGGGCATAGCAAGCTCAGCGTGCTCCCTCAGGCAGCTGGTGGTTTCAAACTGCAGACTTCGTGGTGAGCGCCCCAACATGGAGCCACTGGCACAGGGTCCACTGAATGCAGATGCAGTTAAGTTAAAATTTAACATCTTACCATTTGATTTCCTCTTTGAGCCATTTCTAACTTGTTCTAGTTGTTATTACTTTCTGCTATCTTTTGGGTTGAGTCCCCCACCCCCGTGTTTTATTCTGTCGTTTAATGATTTTCTTTATATGAAACTTAGGATAGGTAAATCTATAGAGACAGCAACTAGATTAATAGTTTCTTAGAGTTATGACTGGGGCAGTAGGGGAGATGAGGAGCAGATAATGATGCAAAGAAGAATGAATAGAGTATCCTGAAAGTGATGGAGGCGATGAAGGCACAACTCTTAATATATTAAACCATTGCATTATATGTCAATAAAACTATTTTTTAAAGGGACAGACAGTTGTTTATATGGGAATAGCTACTGAAATGTTAGGAGACTCCTTTCCTAAGTCATTGAGAGGGCGCTATCCCAGGAGTTAGGCTTGGGAGCCTCTTTCTGGGTTGGCCGGCCTGGAGTGCCCCCAGAGGATTTTCCCTCTTCCAGTTAAAGGGAGCTAAGCTGAGGAGAACCTTTGGCCGAGACCATCACTCAGCCAGTTGGGCAAACCCAAGCTTGGTTTCCTAACCAGGGGAAAGGTTTGCAACTTTCCTGTGCAGAGGCGGCTGGGTCATCTCCAGACGCACAACTCCAGCAAGGCCTGAGCCTTTCTCCCACGTTCAACTCTTCAACTAGGGGCTCTCCCTGCTCCGTTGTACTTCTCCTGGTTGCAAATATATGAAGGGGGCTCCAAATTTAATGGAAAAATTGAATGAAAAGACAATGGGATTTTTCCATAAACGTTTGGAAGCCCCCCTTGCATTTGTGATGATTCCTTAGGCCTGGAGGCTCCAACACAGGACACGTGGAGTGTGGTCACATTCCTCTCTCTCCCTGACCTACTGCGAGGGACAGAGGGCTAAGGGGGAAAGAGGGAGTTGAGAGAGAGAAGCTAAGGCAGGGCCAGCAGTAAACTGTGTGTGAACTCTGGCAGGTCCCTGGCCTCTCTGAGCTCCCTTGCTGCTGGTCAGAAGTTGAGGCGGGATTCCTCCTAGTGGCTTAGGGTGGCTCACTGGGATCTGCAGAAGGGGGGCGGACTGCTGACTGGACTCCACTCTCCGAGGTTGGTGTCAGCAAAGCTTCTGGAGGAAAGTGGCTTCAGAGCCAGGGGAGGGGTGGCTCAGAGGAGGATCTTTTTGTCTCCCTGTCCACATGAACCCCAGTTTTCACTCCTCTAAGAGGAATCTAGAGACGTGTCCCACCTCTCACCCCCCTCCCAATGTCACCATAACTGAAGCTCCTCCTTCCATTCCTTCCAACAACTCCAGTTTTGGGGAGCACCGGTCGGTAACTTCCAAGCGGGGAACGTCAGAGGACCCACTGAATGGCCCCCGGAAGCCGCAGAGCCTTCTCAGAAAATGAACCTGGCAGGCGCGGGGCGGTTTCGGAGTTCAGGAGCTCCCGGTCCACCTGACTGCCAGCTCCTGAGCCTAGAATGCCAAGGCAGGCGGGTGGCGGAGGGGAGCGGGGCAGGCGAGAAATCACTGCACAGCAACACCCAGGTTCGATTTCCTCCCGCAGCTCACATTCCTCCGCCTGCGGCCCGCTCCCATCGCCCCCGCTCCCAACGGAGGCTCTCGTCTCCGTTCCAACTATTCCAACCATCCTGGGAAGGGTGGGGTACGCGCTCCTACGGCCCCCTCGGCTCCCCCAGCACGCAGCGGCCTTCCCTCCGGCCCGGCCCCTCCCTTTCTGGGGTGGGGCCAACCAATGGGCGCGGGCCGACGGGGTTGGCCTGGGAGCGCCGGACCCTAGTCCTGGAGTTCTGGCTGCCGTCCCGGAGCGCACGGACGTAGCTCGGGTTTCCTCCGCGCCGCGCTCGCTCTCCGTGCTCGCGTCCCTCCTCCGCCGCCTCCTCTCCGGCCCGCGCGGCTCCGGGAACCATGGAGGACACCCAGCTGCACATCGTCGAGCAGCCGCTCTCCGTGTACGCCGACGCCGAGGGTCCGGGACCCGCCCTGGTGGAGGCGCCCGAGGCCGAGGAGCCGTCGGGGGCCGGCTCGGAGAAGCTGATCAAGTCGGACCAGGTGAACGGCGTGCTGGTGTTGACCTTCCTGGACAAGATCATCGGCGCGGTCGACCAGATCCAGTTGACCCAGGCCCAGCTGGAGGAGCGGCAGGCGGAGATGGAGGGCGCCGTGCAGAGCATCCAGGGCGAGCTGAGCAAGCTGGGCAAGGCGCACGCCGCTACCAGCAACACCGTGAGCAAGCTGCTGGAGAAGGTGCGCAAGGTCAGCGTCAACGTGAAGACGGTGCGTGGCAGCTTGGAGCGCCAGGCCGGCCAGATCAAGAAGCTGGAGGTCAACGAGGCCGAGCTGCTGCGGCGCCGCAACTTTAAAGTTATGATCTACCAGGTGAGCGGGGTGGGGGGCTGGCCGCTCCCTCCCTGTCATCCAGCTGTCGCTGGCGCGCACCGTAGACCCACCGCTTTCCGGCCAGCGCCGCTGGGGTGGGCTGGGGTGCAAGGAACGGCGGGACGTGGGGCGCGCCCCGCTCTTCCCCTCCCAACCCACAGCGACAAACTCGCGGAAGGACCAAGTTTGAGGGCTGGACGCAGGGACGCTGCCCCTCTAATATGTCTCCCAATTTGGCTGTCGAAGGTCTTCCTTCTTGGGGAGGGTGGTGGTGGAGACGTTCCGGGGCAAGCTAGGGGGGTCCCTGGAGGCAGAGGAGCCCGCTAGAAGTGGGTACTGGCCGTGCGGCCCCAGACTGGGCCTCCAGCGCTGCCCGCCCGATATAGAGGATGATTCAAGGCTCAGGCACGCACCCAAAGGGGCTGCGTCTGGTGAGGGACGGGGCCGCCAGCGTCCTCCCGCTCTACCGACCCTCACCCGCCTCCGCTGCCCACCCCCGCACCCTGTCCCCGGCTGCAGTCCACCCTGTACTTTCATGGCCCTGGGGACACCCTAGCCAGCCATGTGCCTGCACCCTCAGTGCTAGGAAGTGGACGGGGCCCAGCTGCGTGGGAAATGCAGGAGGGACGGTGGAGGGGGTGGCCAGCCCCTGCAGTGCCCGGGGTACACAGTGAGTCACCCCACGCGCCAGCCCGCGGGGGCGGCGGGCAGGCGGGAGGAGGCTGACACAGCAGGCGTGCTCCCCATCCCTCCCACCTGCACAATGTCGGATTTGTAGTTTAACTCCCAGCCAGCCCAGACTCGCTGTGTTGCTGCTTCTCTCCACCCCACTCCTCCGCCGGGGATCCCATTATGGGTGGCTCTGAACTTGAGGCTGGACCGTTTTGTTTTTTTTAGGCTTGGCAGGAATGTGGGTCGCCCCGCCCCTCCCCCCCCTTGCTCCTCCCAGGCCTGCTTCATCCCCTGGCTCAGGGAGTGGTCCTGGAATTGGCCTAGCCTTTCCCTTCTCCTTTCTCTGCCTACTCCAGGGGACAAAAAAGAGGTTTCTCAAGCCCCCTGGGAAAGGGGCACTGTGAGAAGACTGCTTGGGGCTGGTGGGGCAGCTAGACCCTCCTTGGCCAGCCTCTGCATGAGGGCTGAAAGGCTGGAAACCACGAGTCCGAGGGCACTATGGAACAAGTGTTTGGGGAAGGGAGACCCAGAGGTAGTGAGCTGGCACCCATCTGAGAGATGGTGGTGGGACAGAGGTAGATGTAGCAACCCCCACCCCCACCTACAGATACTAACCCACCCACCTGCTGCTCCCTAGAGGCACTTGGCCTTCAAGCAGCTCTGTTTCCTCAGTTTACAACCCGGTCTGGTAGAAAGGTTTTCCCAGAGCCTTTCCACTTCAGAATGGAAGGCCTGATGAGGGAGGCCGCTGGTGGGATGTTTTAGACTCTCGCCTGCCTCTGGGGCATCTGGGTAGTAGAACTAGACAACAGGACAGGGAGAGGGACCGTACCCCAGCTCCAGCTTTCTTTCAGAGCCTAGTGGGGTGGCAGAAGGCTCTCATAAAGGGCGGTGCTTCCTCCTCCAAAGGTCCCAGACCAGAGCCCTGGGAGAGTTCTCAGGCTCTAGGGAAACCCCCCCCCTGGCAAAGATGGAGCTCCTGGGAGGGGGACAGGTTGGAGGGATCTCTGTGCAGAGGTGGGGGCTCCCCTCCGTACATTGTCTGTGTGCTGGGGGGCTGTTGGTGTTAGGATTTAATCACAAGGTGGCGTTGACTGCCAGTTGTGGTGGAGCGGGGCTGGTCGCGAGGTGCAAGTTGAGATAGGAAAGGTGGCTGAATCTGGGGGCTCAGGTCCAAACCCCCAACCCCCAAGTGCAATAAGGACTCCACCCCCTGAAGGAACTCCCTTAGGAAAAGCTTCCAGGCACAAGGGTGGGGCTGGGGGAAGCAGAACTCCCCAGAGCAGCTGACCAGATGTTCCAGGTGGGGGAAAGAGGGTGGGCTGTTCAGCGGCTGGGCAGGAGGCTCCTCCCCGAGGTCTGCAGGCCTGGGAAGAGAAGGAAGTAAAAATAGCTCTGTGCCTTGGCAGGCCTAATAGGGAAGGCTGGGGGGCGGCAGCAGTTATGGTAAAGGCAGGCTGAGGGGTTAGGATGCCTGGGCAACAGGGCAGAGGGGGAGAGAGGCAGAGTGAGATTGACTGCTACCCTGCAGAAAGGCCTCTGGGGGAATAGGGGAGGGGAGGGGAGGAGAAGCTGTCTTCCCCACTGCAGATGATGTGGCAATGGGGGCAGGGCACAGAACCATGCCGGGGTGGGAAGGTCCCAGCTGTGGGATCAGACCATCTGGCCTCTCACACCCTTCTCCAGGGAGAGAAAGGGAATCCCTTGTGTGGCCCCACCCCCAGCATCCTGGGAACTCCTGCATGATTGTCTTAGGCTAAGCCTGCATTTGACCTGCACATACACCCCCCCAAATAAGAGATCAGAGTCTTCCCTTTGACTCACTTCCAAGACAAGAAGATATTTCTCTGTCCCCCAAACAAAAACGATACGTTTAGCATCACATCCTACTGGGTGACAGGGCTAGGTGGATGAGAGAAGCCTGTTACAGCCCCTGGGGGTTAGTGGGCTGAGGGCTGCTGGGAGGGCCAGCCCAGGTAGGAAGGAGGTGGGGGTGCTAAAACACCAGGAGAGGAGCGATGAGCATTAAGTAAGGAGCCTGTTCACCCAGGTATCACAGAGCCCTCCCAGAATCCAGAAAGGGGGTGGATTTGATGGGAAATCAGTTTTCTGGAGCTATTTGGATGAGGCCAAGTTCAAAATTCACTTTCAGTCAGTTCTGACTCATAGTGACCCTATAGGTAGAACTAACTGCCCCTGTGGGTTTCCAAGACTGACTGTTAGGAAAGCAAGCCTTGTCTTTCTTCTGAGGAGAAGCTGATGGGTTCCAACTGCTGACTTTGCAGTTAGCAGCCCAGCACAGGGCTCCTGCAGGCAAAGTAAGTGGCCGAAAAATGGACCATTAGCCAAGACCCATCAGACCTGCTCCAAGTGCTTGGGGACAGGACTCGGAAGCATTTAAGGATTAGGTGGTTTATGAGCTCTAAAGGGATAGGACCAGGGCTGGAATGAGGGCCTGAGAGAGAGAAAGACACCTTTGACTATTGTAAAATCTAAGTCTAGAAAGTGAGGGGCAGCACAGAGGGGGCACCTGATAACACACTGTCATGAATATATCACTCTGTTGCCGTAGAATGTTTGAGCTGGGAGTGAGTGGTTTCCCACCTTCCTCACACCACAACCCTTTCAGACAGCTCCTCATGTGGTGACCCCCAACCATAACAGTATTTTCGTTGCTACTTCATCCCTGTCATTTTGCTACTGTTCTGAATCGGGCGGCCCCTGTGAAAGGGTCGTTCAACCCCCAGAGGGGTAGTGATCCACAGGCTGAGCGCCGCTGACGTAGAGATCATCAACTTGAACTCTTGTAGCTAAGCAGAGGTCCACAAAGGGGAAATCACCACTTGCCTAGCATCACTCAGATGATTGGAGGTCAAAGCTGAGGCCAGAGCCCAGAGTGCTTCCTTATGCCTCACTGGCTGCGCCTGTCCTCCCTCCAGCCCCAGGCTCTGTAGCAGGAATGCTGGTGGGGGCTAGCTCTAACTCAGGGTTAGCCTTGGCGTCTTCATCCTTCCAGAGAGGGAGTGGCAAGGGGGTGCGTACAGTGCAGGTCACGAGGGGAGGCCACTCGCTATTTGGCCTCATGAGCGCTGGCGCAGAGGCAGAGTGGCTGGTCGGTCACCTGGCCTGAGGACCGTGGGAAGGCCAGGGCTCAGGCTGCAAGGGGTGGCGCTCCGCAAGCAGCCATTGGTCCTCTGGCATGGACCCTGCATCTGGCTGGGAGAGCCCCGTTGGCTTGTGCTCTTCAGCCTCCCGGCCACTCTTCCTCCACCCCCACGGGGCAAGTTGAAACCTGTGGTTCTGATTCTGTGGCTGCAGGCTTTCCGCTGCACACCGCAGCTGCTGGTGCAGTTCGGCCCAGCTCCCCTCCTCTCTCCTGGTTGCTCAGCCCCTTAGGAGTGGATGCTGGGCGCTGCAGCTGGGCACCCCAGGGTGGAGTGTGTCTGTTGTAAAAATAGCATGGTGTTTAATCCTGATTTCCCTGTGCATTTTGGGTGGGTGAGTTGGGTAATGGGGAGGCATGCTCTAGGGGTGTGGCTCAGGATGCTCCTCTTCCATGCCTGCCCTTATCCTAGGGTGGCGTCTAGTGCCTGGGGACTGGGCAGCGTGAGACAGGGAGGACAATGTCACTGTCCGTGCTTCCTGGGCTACGGTCCACAAATGGTCTCTTAGAAACCCTGCTCCACCCCCAGCAGCCTCTCCTCCACCATTCAGGGCCCCAAACAGCACCCTCCCTCAGCCATGGCAGAGGAGGGGCAGAGGGTGGGAGCTCAGGGATGGGTCTGGGGAAGATTCTAGAGCAGTGGTTCTCAACCTTCCTCATGCTGTGACTCTTTCATATAGTTCAAGTTGTGGTGACCCCCTAATCATAAAATTATTTTTGTTTCTGCTTCATAATGGTCACTTGCTACTGTTAGGAATCAGGTGACCCCTGTGAAAGGGTCATTTGACACACACACACACCCCCAAAGGGGTGGTGACCCACAGGTTGAGAACCGCTGTGCTAGAGGGCGAAAAGGAGAGGGCTGGAAGTTCAGATGGTCTGTCAGCTCAGGGGCCAGGGTTTGCCCCACCCTTTTCAGCCCAAGGCCCTTTTGAAGAAAACACTACTGTGTGTGGTGGTTGTTTTTGTCCTACCCTAATCTATCCAGCGTCCCACTAACCCACCCACTAGCCCCACCCTGCATGCCTACCAAAGCTCTCTCTTTCAGCTCGTCCAAGCCCCCCTTAATCCCCTTTTCCTCATCTTAGCCCACGAAGAAGCCAAGTGCACGCTCTGACCCGGCCACACCCAAGACGGTGCCTTTTGACCTTCTGCCTGAGACTGAGCCCTTTGACCTGAAGCCTGAGACAGTGCCTGAGCTCCCACCCTTTGACCAGACGCCTAGGCCACTGCCCTATTACCCAGAGCGGGGGCCTCTGTCCAGCCCAGAGGAGCCGACAGCTGCTGGGGGCGAGTAGGGTCTCCTGGGGCTCTGGGGTGTCACCCCAGCCCACCAGCGGCTTGTGGTTTCATGGCACATGGTGCCAGCTGGTGTCCAGGCCTCTGCCTTTTTTGGTGGGTGGGTGCTGGGAACCGTGAGACTACTCCTGTGCTATGAAGAGTTGTGGTGAATGTGGTGTGGGTCGTGGGGGTGGGCGGCAAAGCCACGGAGTCCGCCCTCTCCTTGATTTCTGCCATGACTGTGGCTTCTCCACCCAAGGGCTGCCCTGCATGAAGTTGCATGAGCATGTGCCTGGCCCTCCGAGCCCCTGCCTTTCCCTCTTTCCCTGCCTCCTCAGGGAGGGGCCAGTTTGGCACAAAGCCTCTTGGGAGTGGCCCCTGGGAGGCCCAGGCCTGGGGTGTGTTCCGTACCCTCCCCACCCCCTTCTGGTAGCTGGAAAAAACATTGACACATGTTTTTTTCCCAGCTTTTACGAAAATAATTTGCAAAGAGATCCCTTGTTTGCCAGACCCTGCCTTGGGTGGGGCACAAAAATGCTGCCAACCTGGCAGGCGAGGCCAGCAGGGGGTCGATCCTTAGGCGAGGCCAGCAGGGGGTCGATCCTCGGGGAGCCTCTGGCTTCCCCACTGTTTTTCATGATCACCTCCCACCCCATGAGTCTTCTTAGACACTTCCTTTGCCACTGTCCCCCTTCCTCATGACATTTTGCTGCTCTGGGCATACTGTGTATGTTTACGTACTGTACCGCAGGCCATTGCAACATCTGCATGATTGTTCTCCTCTGTGAGAATGTGTCTGCCCTCTTGGGGGTATATCACCACCCCCTGGAGGTTTCCTGCTATAGCAGAAGGGAAGGGCCCTGCTGCCCACCTGAGTCTCCCACCGTCTCCTCCTGGAAACAGGTGGAGGAACCTTGTGGTTTTTAAGACCTTCCTACTCACCCTTCTCCCCTCCCCCAGTCTGATGAACACTTAGCACAGCGGTTCTCAACCTGTGGGTCACTACCCCTTTGGGGTTCGAATGACCCTTTCACAGGGGTCACCCAACTCATAACAGTAGCAAAATGACAGTGATGAAGTAGCAATGAAAATAGTTATGGTTGGGGGTCACCACCACATGAAGAACTGCATTAAAGGGTTGCAGTGTGAGGAAGGTGGAGAACCACTGCATTAGCAGATCTTGGGGATGTTGAGACCCCCATGTTCCCAAAGTCCTGACAGTGGTCAGCAGCACTTACCTCTTCTCCCTGACAAATGTGAAGTGCCTGGCCAGGGGCTGGGCACACAGTGGGTGCTCCATTAAATTATAACTTAGAGGACAATCTTCTCCCTAACGGTCTAAGTTTCTAGAGCAGGGTTGGGGAAGGGCACCTCCTGGGGTCCCTGGGTGGGGACTGTGTGTGCTTGGTGTGGCAGGGGCAGCTGTGCATGCTTTTGTTCAGACCTGGTCATTAAAGGTACTTCTGGAAACCAAGCCTGTTGGGAGTGGTGGTTTTGTTTAATACAAACGAGAAAACAGCAGGCAGGAGCCTCCCTCTTTGGCACTGCACTGCCCTCTTCCTGGCCCCTCCTTTGGCTGCGGAGCTCAGCCAGAGAAGTGGGAGTGGGACAAGGGTGTCTGGCCTGAGTGCGCGGTGGGGGTGGGGGTGAGCTTTCTGAGTGTGTTGATAGTTGTTATAGCAACTGGCATACCAAGTCAGCCCAAGACAGCACTCCAGGGCTATGAGTCACGAGGGAAACCTGGCTGGAAAAGGGAGAAAAGAGAAAATCCAGTCATCCTGGGAAAAGCTCTCTCACAGGGGTCAAACTTGGCGCAGGTCAAACCGCTGCTTCTCTCCTGACCTCCCACCAGGATGACAGCTCCTTCCAACACCCCAGGTCAGGTGCACAGTACAGGAGTGTCTTCCAGGCACCTGGGAGCCTCAACCCAAAATCCAGGGCTTAACTTCCGGAGTTCCGTTTCTTTCCTCGGCAAGCTCTGGGATGATGGCTTTGGCTACAAGAAATCCATAGCTCTCCCCTGAGCCCACATCTCTCCCTAGCTCATCTGGCAAAGACCTTTATCTGGGAAGCCTGACGCCAGGGGGACCCAGCCAGCTCAGCCTTTGGTGGGGGTGGGGGTGCAGGGGAAGGTTGTTAGTGATGCTGGGGGTGGAGCAGGGAGACAATGGATTTGTTTTCCAGCAGCTGGGACTGTTTCCTGATCCCAGACATCACCACCACCACCCGTCCCCCCTCCCCCAATCACCATAATCCCTCTGCAGCTCATCCACATTGTCAGAGCACAGGGAAAGGAGGGGTTCCAGCTCCCCTGTCTGGAGCGTGGGTGGGTATTAGTCTGGGTGGCAGTGGAGGGGAGAGCAGAGGGAAAGAGAGAGACGGACCGCAGGGACACACCGAGGGTGAGATGAACAACCAGGGGACATTGCAAGAGGCCCAGAGGGTAAGACTGGAGTCAGAGAGATGCTAAGAGGGTCCCACAAACACAGAAACATCCCAAGAAGCCTAGAATGCTAACGCTAGTGCTAAGCTGGCTATGGCAGGTGGAGACTACAAGTCCCAGCATGCCCTGCGCCCAGGTCACCTTGCCTGCTGGGAGGTGTAGTTGAGGGAGAAAGCCCAAGAAGGCCTGGTACTGAGCAGAGCTAGTGGCCTTTCTGGGAGAAGAGGAGCCATTATTCTTTGTTCCAGCTAAAGCTATTGACCAGGAGGGAAGGAAGTTGGGAGGAGGTGTTCCCAGTTCTCAGTGTAAACCAGGAAACCTGGGGGGATGTGGGGGGAGAGAAAAGGAAGGAGGCTGGGGGCTAGGGAAGGAATTTCTGTAGCAGGTTGTGTGTGTGTGTGTGTGTGTGTGTGTGTGTGTCTGAGGGGAGGCGGCTCACTGCCCCATTTTCCAAGCAGATGGGATTTTCTTGCAGTTCTGGGAAATAATCTTCAGAAAACCTTCAATTCAAATAACTCTCTCTCTCTCGTCTCCAAAGAGAGGGTCCTTTGTGTGGGGAGGTGTGAGAGTCAGGAGCAGGGCTGTGGCCTGGATCCTCCCCTCCCAGGAGAAGCAAAAGCTCTGAGCACAGACACTGTAGGACCACCATCCTGCTTCTGACCCTTTGAGCTCAGATCTAGGGAGGGCAAAGAGAATGATAAAGTCCTCTCTCCCCTCCATTCCACAGCAGGGAAGGCAGAGACAGAAGAGATGTCCAGACAGGGGGCAAAGCACCTCTGTGGCTCCTAGCCAGCTTCCTCATTGCTCTGTGAATTACTTGCTGGGGGGAAATAATAATCACCATAGAGCTAAACTCTGGGGGCAGGTCGGCGGGAGGGTGCCTCCACAGCCCTTCTTCCCTAAGGCTAGTTATGAAATGGTTCAGGTCTGGGAATCACACCCCCTTTGCTTTCCATCGACCCTCATTGGAGGGTCTCCAGACTTTTGAGTTTACCCCACTGTCTCCACCCGCAACCTGCTACAAAACAGCTATCTCACTGCTATCGAATCGATTCCAACTCAGAGCGGCCTTATGCGACAGGGTAGAACTGTCCTTTGTGTTTCCAAGTCAGTAACTTTTTACGGGAGTGGAAAGCCCCATCTTTCTCCCGCAGAGTGGCTGCTGGTTTACAACTGCTAACCCCTTGGATCGCAGCCCAATTCGTGCCCCGGTGGCATACCGGTTACACATTGGGCGGCGATAAGCAAAATCAGCAGTTGGAAACCACCAGCCACTCTGAAAAAGAAAGATGAGGCTTTGGGCTCTGGTACAACGTCTCAGACTCACAGGGGGCAGTTAGTTCTCTGTCCAGGGGGTGGTCACTGTGAGTCAGCGTCCTCGCAGTGGCAGACGCTTAGGCTTTGGCTTGGCTCAGGCAGTGTCTGATTTCGGCCACCAGAGGGCGGTGGCGCTCTGTCCATTCCAAAGCCGAGTTGCGGTCCCTGGCACTGCAATGAGTACTTTGGTAGAACCCCAACTCACTGCCAGGGAGTCAGTTCCGACTCACAGCGGCCCCCCAGGGCTGAGTGGCACTGCCCCTGTGGATTTCCGCTGGAAATCTTCATGGAAGGCAGAAAACCTCATCTTTCTCCCGAAGAGCAACTGGTGGATTCGAACGGCTGATCTTGCGGTTGATGTGGTTGATATAGGATACAAGGGCACGGCTGGAGGACCGGAGAGATATTTAGCCAAAGTGTAATTATGATTCAGGGCAGTCTGATGCTCACCCCAAAGCTAGATTCCCTGACAGAACCCCTACCCGCCTCCTCGCTCTGTCAGTACTGGTAGAGAGTAACATTCGACTGACTTCCTGAGCGCCCACAAAGCACGCGTCCAAGCTCCGTGCAGGGTGCTGGGGAGGCAATGGCGGTCGATACCACGAGCTACCCCTCCTCTTCCCCCTTGCCCACTCCCCAGATTCGCAAGCCCCCCGAAGCCCCCGCGTTCTCTCCCCTTCTTCATCTCTCCTCTCTCTCTAGGACGACGTGAAGCTGCCGGCCAAACTGAGCATCAGCAAGTCGCTGAAAGACTCGGAGGCGCTGACCGAGAAGGAGGGTGACGAGGCGGGTGAGGGCGAGCGGCCCGAGGACGAGCCGGCGGCGCTCGAGCTGTCGTCGGACGAGGCGGTGGAGGTGGAGGAGGTCATCGAGGAGTCGCGCGCCGAGCGCATCAAGCGCAGCGGCCTGCGGCGCGTGGACGACTTCAAGAAGGCCTTCTCCAAGGAGAAGATGGAGAAGACCAAGGTGCGCACGCGCGAGAACCTCGAGAAGACGCGCCTCAAGACCAAGGAGAACCTGGAGAAGACGCGGCACACGCTGGAGAAGCGCATGAACAAGCTGGGCACGCGCCTCGTGCCCGCCGAGCGGCGCGAGAAGATCAAAACCTCGCGAGAGAAGCTGCGCAAGTCCTTCACGCCCGACCACGTGGTCTACGCCCGCTCCAAGACGGCCGTGTACAAGGTGCCGCCCTTCACCTTCCACGTCAAGAAGATCCGCGAGGGCGAGGTGGAGGTGCTCAAGGCCACCGAGATGGTGGAGGTGGGCGCCGACGGCGACGACGACGAGGGCGGCGCGGAGCGCCACGAGGCGGCCGACCTGCTGCGCGGGAGCAGCCCCGACGTGCACACGCTGCTGGAGATCACCGAGGAGTCGGACGCCGTGCTGGTGGACCGGAGCGACAGAGACTGAGCCTGCGCAGCCGCCGCCGCGCAGGCCCCGCCCC